ATATATATATATATATATATATATATAATTTTAATTAAGTGAAAATAAAGATTTCTTATGTGATTTAATTCAAAAATAATAATAATAAAAATAAAAATATATATATATATTTTTTTTTAATTTAAAGTAATTCGTTCAACAATATACAATTAAATTTCTATAAATAATTTATTTTTATTTGATTTCAGTTTATATTAATTTTTTAAATACATTTATAATACAAATATATATATTTATAGAAAAAAAGTATTTTATTTCATTTTTTTTAATTTTTATTTATTTTATTTATTTATTTTTATTTTTTATTTTTTTTGTATTAATTTTTTCAAGCTTTTAAAAGTATCAAACCCATTCAGTTTAGCAGCACTTCATAATATACTATATACTATCATTTCAATTGCTAATACAAATGAACTTGAACAACAACAAATGATATTAGCTGTAATACGAATACGCTTCAATATGCATAGAAAACTATTGAAAAAAAAAAAAACTATATACACACATACTGATATATGTATACACATACATATAAATAGATGTATATCAATATTCACACTACTCATGTATATTAGCTAGTAAGTACTTTGTAAGCCTAGCGGTTTAATACAAGTTTCTCGTCTGTGTGTCATTGCTAAACAAAACAAAAAACAACAACAACAACAACAACAAATCAAATTCTCGATGTGTACTTGATGTCAAAGTTATTAAAAATTGTGTTTTATCAAAAAGTTCTCAAGTGTGTTTTATTTAAATTCGAACAAGCATATATATATTTATATATGTATATATTAATATGCCACAACTCTTGCCTCATTGTTGTGTGTGGGGCAGTGCTGGTCGGGCGGTCGGTTGAAGCTTTGCATTTGTTTGCACTCAACTCAACTCAAAATTGACAAACTTTTCAACCGCACGCACGTAAGCAAATGCCAGCGCATCGGCCAAATGCCAAAGTTCAAGTGCAAATTGTGTCAAGTGTTGCAGAATTCGGAATCGGCAACGGACAACAAATCGGTATACGCATCGTTGTGGTTGTGTGTAAGCGCGTGTGTGTGTGTGTGTGTGTGTTTCACTCATGGAGATGGATTACGCATTGGCATTATCAACACCGGAACAGGCAAAAGCCGACAAATGGCCCAGAAATGGTTGTGCTTCCAATGACAAACAGTCAGGCAGCTGGTAACCTGCCATGCCGAAAAACAACAACAACAACAACAGCAACAACAACAAAATCGATACATCATGCAATGCTCGCATTACGGTGCCAGCCAGTTGAGCTCTTGTACTCGCACACGCACACGCACAGCGCTTCCACTCGTCCCGCTGGTCCTGCTGCTCCTGCTGCTCCTGCTGCTGCTGCTGCTCCTGCTCCTCCACCTTATCGTTGTTATTCTTGCAGCTGACATTGTTGTCACCGCTGCTTGCCACATTGTTGCACTTGCAACTGCCAAAACCTGCACTTATCAGGTGTCAGCAGCTGCCGCCCCAAAAAAAAAAAAAAACAGAAATCAAAAAAATAACGGCAGCTAAAAGAAAAAGTTGTAAGTCGAAGGTCTTTAGTTTTGACAATTTCTTCCCTTTTAATCTCATGCATGCTCATGCATGTCCAGCTTTGCGTCATCAATAAATTAAATGACGCATTAGCATAAGCCACATAATTATTTATTTAAAACTGGTTTGTCAATCTCTTTTTAGGCTCATGCATAAATAATAGTCCAGATCTGTGACTACAGAATGGGAATAAAATTCATGACATAAATCACAGGATATGTGCGTCATCAATAAATAAAATGACATTTCATTATAAGCAAAATAATAATTAGTTATTTAAAGACAGAAGAGGAAAGACTTGAAGAGACAATTATTAACTAGCAATTATAATTATTAACTATAAATTATTTTATTTTATATAAATTCGACTTTTTTTTTTTACAAATATTTAACATATACAATATTTAATATAATTATTATATATATTTAATATATATAAATTTTTAGTTTATATAATTCAAGTAGTATATTAATATTATTATATTTTCAAGTAGTATATTAATAATACAATATTATTATATTTATTTAATATATATACATTTTTTGCTTATATAATTCAAGTAGCTATTTATTTAATACATATATTAAGCGTGTAATCAAAGAGAGTTCAAATGAGATCAATTTAATACATTTATAAAATATGTAGCAAAAGCTTACTCCATTTGTATTTCAATTTCAATTATATACACACATTTAAATAAATTCATTTAATTTGTTTTTATTTTCTTCTTTAACCCATTATAGCTCGCTTTTCACCACACACACACACACACACACATAAATACATGAAATTGCCAATACATTTTGTGATATGGCCCACAGCTAGGCGATACACTGTATGCATAATTCATCTATTGGCTTAAAAACTGTGTGAAAAATCAATCAATAACTGTGCGTACGACCTGACAATGTTAAGTCATGTAGATTTTGTGTGTGTGTGTGTGGGTATGGGAGGTGGAGGGGGGACAATCCAATAAGCCTTGTTATAAGCCACAGCCAGAAGGCATAAAAGCCACAAAAATCCCAATGCTTTCAAATGTGCAACAGCAAACACGAGTGTGTGTGCGTGTGTGTGTGTGTATGTGCGTGTGTGTGTGTTGCATGTGTAAATATACGTGCCTTTATTAGCTGCTACACATTATTAATATCGTTAGCTCTCTCTTACCCACTCACTCGTCTCTCGCTCCCGCTCGCTCTCTCTGACTCACTCTCTGCAGCGGATAATGTCAATAAAATGCGTTTTATTAAAAAATTTCTTAGTGCTCCCAAAAGCAAAAAAAAAATACAGAAAAAATCCCATAAATCGAATAAATATCGTTTGCTCAACGAGTGCCAAGATATGTGTGTGTGTGTGTGTGTGCGAGTCACAGTTAATATGCCACACGAGTGCCAGCACACTGTTTGCTCGAACATTATACGTATTTTTTGAAGCCTGCTCGAGTCGTATAAAAAATGAACAAAACTTGCCAAGCAATTCGAAAGGTATTAAAAGTATTAAACAGCAACGGCTGATTATAAACCTTGAAGAGCCAAAACTTGAGAGAAAGAAAAAAGAATAGCCAAGTGTAGCAACATATCTATCAAATACTTTTAGCAGATAT